CCCCCCAACCCACCCCCGTCTCTATGTGTGTGTATCCTGTATGTATACATGCACACACCCCCGCACACCTGTGCGCCCGGGCTGGGGGGCTGGGGAGGAGGGCGGAGTAACGCGGTGGTGGGTGGGGCAGTTCTGATCTGTATTTTACGTTGCTGGTATGATAAGTATTTGGTTGTGTTTTCGTTAGCCCAGAAAACCACATATGCCACCTCTTGGTTTTGTTAGGTTCAAATGCAATAGAAAGGTCTGTTCTTAAGAGGAACAATTCATCGAGCAGAGCAAAAGCTGGGATTTTAGGTAGGGTTCTGGGAACTTGAAAACGCCCAGGATCTTTGACAGAACAAAGGTTAATCCTGTAGCCTTGTCATTACAAACGTGAGGTGTCATTGAGTGGATGTTCTGTTGCCTGCCTGGCTTCTCCACTGTGGTGCCGTACTTCCCAGTTTTATGCAGAGACCAGTAAGTAATGCTGCAGCCTTCTCCCCAGAGTGCCCTTCTGCAGCTCTCCTCGGGTTGAAGATGAAAAATACTTGAAGCCCAGAAACCATTTTGGCTCAGGTGCAGATGTGTGCTTGCCCTCTCCTCGCCCTCCCTCTGTTTAAGACTGTGAGTTAAACAACAGGAAGAAAATGACTTTGGTAGGAAATTGATAGGCCCCTGGGGGGCTCAGTCGGTTCAGCGTCCCACTCAATATCCGCTCAGGTCTCGATCTCAGAGTCGTGAGTTCTAGCCCCGTGTTGTGAAGCTTACTTAAGAAAAAAAGGAAAAGAAGAAGAAATTGAAAGGAAGGTTCCGAGAAGGACCTAGTCCTGTACTTAGTCCCTTTCCAGGCGGTTTGAGTGCAGTGACTCGTGTTTCTTGAGAACGTACCACATACCAGACACCGAACCGAGCGACCAGCAAACGTGAACAATCTCCTGGCGTCCTGAGGCCCATCTTACACGTCGGATACTCCGGCTGAGGGGGCTTCGGTGATGTGCCCGGGGTCACTAGCTAGGAAGTGGCAGGGCCAGGACTTGATCTCAGGGTCTGCCTGATGCTAAATTACCTGCTTACATGCACACCGTCGGGAGGCTTTTCCACGTGTGACCGTGCCACTGCTGCAACAGGGAACTCTGGTGCTTGATGATAAGTCCAAGGAGCCAGGCTTACAAAATAGGAAGCCACAATATACTACGTGGCAACGTGAGTGTGGATGCATGAGGTCTTGTCTCATGACCACCGCACGTGGGAGAGTTGGAGCTATGTTTTTACTGTTGCATTTAGAATGTTTTTCAATCTTTGGGGAGGGGACCTCTATGCTAAAACTTTATATAGACTGAAAGAATGTCAAAACTTTTTAGAGTAACAGGTTTTAGCTAACACGACTTGGAATTTTTTTCCTTTTCCTATGTGTGTTGAAAGCAGTACATCTTCAGAGAAAGAATGTCAGTTGTGTGCTCCATGCTCCACATCCAGATCCACGAGGGGGCGTGACGTCCTGGCCGAGGCAGGGGCTTTGATGTCACAGAGGCTTGCGGTCAATGCCTGGCTCTGCCATGTAGGACCTGTGTGCGTTGGTGAACTTGTACTAACTTGAGTTTCCACGACCAGGAGATAGGAAGAGTGTGTTCTCTCTAGGGATCCTATGAGGTGGTCATCGCCTAGCATCTGTTAACCCCGTGGGAGATTCTGGTTATTGGCATAAAAGGAACTAAGTCAGTGTATGGAGTTGAGGTTATGATCAAGTTATGATGGTTCTGTTTCATATCAGTGCCTTCTTTCCCTCTGTAATCCTTCCTGTCTCTTTTTGGTGGGATAAGAGGAGAAAATGATACAGAAAAATGGTCTGGAGCCAACTAGTAGATACGAGTGCTGTTTTCAAAGCTTTAAAAGTAGGAATATCTAAGAAGTCATTTCTAAACATTGTATCTGTTTACAGTTGGCGGGAAGAGATTCTCCAATAAGGGCAGAGATGCCAGGAAATCTTCAACATTATGGAAGGTAAAACTTGTGTTCTCTGAAAAACAGTATTAGATTTTATGATCTCTTTTGGTAAAGATAAAATCATCAACACTGAATTACCTTTGTGCTGTTTATCGGCAATAATCAGCAAAGGAAATTGATGTCTCCAGTGAATTAAAACTTTATCGTATTCTGATTTGGTGTCTTCCCCCCAAAATGAATATATATTAAGTAGGAATATATTCCTGTTTGTACTTTGCCTAATTGAATGGAGTCATTTCCGTGCTTACTTTGCAGATTTCTTACTGGACCCTTGAACCTTAATGATCCAGAAGCAAAATGCAGATTCCCCAAGATTTTTGTAAATACGGACGACACGTATGAAGCCCTGCATTTAATTGTTTATAAGGTAACAACTGTTTTTCCCTCCAGTGTCGCAGATTAACGCGAAAAGTAAATCCTTCTTGCGTGTGTACACAAGTGTGTGCACGTACATACCTCTTCGTTGTTTTTCGGAACGAAAGTTGAGAGTTCTAATCACCGTATGACTCACAGTGAGTGCTCCTCTGGAACAGTGGGCTGATTTTCAGCTCCTTTTCAGTACTTTTGTTATTAGCGAAAGAGTGACAGATACTGTATCTGTATTCAAATACTGTTCTGACTCACCAGGGTTTGAAGCCCCGGGCACTCACAAACCAGAGGCCACCGAAGGTTGTGTTACCTCGTAGTCCGGTGCCTTCTGGTGTGGGCCTGGCTACGCCTCAGTGAATTCTGCTTTTGCGGATTTGAAAGCCGAGGACTTGCTGATTCTATAACCTTAGTGTCCGTTTGTTTCAGGGTATCATCTTGTTAGGTTGTTTTTTTGTTCCTTTTAAAGAAGAACGATCCAGGGAGCCCTAGAGTGGCCGGTGTGGGTGTGAGCACCTGGGAGCATGTGGCGTCCCCAGGCACCCATGTGACTGCTGCCCTCGTCCTGTCCCCAGAGCAAAGCCCCCCTCCCTGCTTGGCCACACACTCCCTCATCCTTCAGCATGTTTGGAAAAACAAAACTGTAGGTCCTGAGAGAAACAAAAATGACTCTGGGAACAGAGAGAACTTGAAAAAGTTTGCGTCCAGAGATTAGAGAAGTGTATCTATAAAATAGAACCAGGAAGACACAAAAGAGTCCGGGTGAGCATGAACTAGGCTTAACTGAAAATACAGTTCCTAAGCGTATTGACTGGAGCAAGATGGACGTGGCATGAAATTTGCCATTTTAACCCTCTTCCTTTTAATGTCTATTTTGAGAGAGAAAGTGTGAGCCGGGGAGGGGCAGAGAGAAAGAGAGAGAGGGAGAGAGAGAGAATGCCAGGCAGTCTCCATGCTTAGCACGGAGCCTGATGTGGGGCTTGGTCTCAAACTTGTGAGATCATGACCTCAGCCGAAATCGGTAGTCGGACGCTTAACCGACTCGGCTACCCAGGTACTCCGCCGTTTTAACCATCTTTAAGTGTACAGCTCAGTGACGTCACTACATTCACGCTGTTGTGCAGCCATCATCACCGTTTCCGGAACTTTCCTTCAACACAAATTCTGTACCCATTAAACAACAACCTTTTCAGCCCCTGTCCCCCAAAATTATAATTTTTGACAGAACTTCATTGTAAGGGTTAAAGATGAATTGTCTTGCCTGGAGCATGAGATGAAAGGATATGAGATGAAAATACGGAAGAACAATGGGAGAGGAGGATTTCAACATGTGATTCACAATGTGGAGGAGAGGAGAGCAGCAGAGTGATTATGGAGACACCTCTTGCTTAAGAGGTACACATTTGCTGGACCGAAAAGGCCCACTGAATGTCTTGCACGGTGAACCAAAAAGACATATTTCTACCCATACAATGGGCAGTTTCAGAAGTATAAAGATCATAGAAGCTTCCAGAAGGAAAATCAGGTCATTTGAGAAGTTCTGAGAGAAAATGGTTTTCAGTGTAGAATTCTTTGCTGAGCCAAACTATCCATCATGAATGACATCGAAGAAGGATGTTCTTAAACATGCAAAGTTTCAGGAAGGTTACCCCATGTGTCCTTCCTTCAGTCAGAGGAAAGGGGGCTCTGTCCTGGGTACAGGGGCTCCAGAACAAAAAGGTGTTGAGTTCGTGACCTAGCAGGACTAAGAGATTTGATTAAGTGTTGGGTGTCATAAGGAGGGGCCCAGAAGGAGAGAATTCCAGGGAAGACAGACAAACAGATGTGTCTGAAAATGAACCGAACTGAAGTGTGGCATACGGGGGTAGGGAAGGGCCCGCCTCTCTGTCACACTTAAAATCGTTCTCCTCTGAGTGACTCGGGATAATGACTTTGAACCCTAATGGAAGAAATACCCTGGTACAGTCTCTTATTGGATTTCCATTTTTAGAGTAAAATCAATAGATAGAATTTTAAATGTGGTGAGAGGACGTCACAGTTCCTTCACGGTGTTCTCTTTTCCTCAAAACAGCTTTATCAAGTTGTAGTTCACATACCATATAGTTTGCCTCTTTAATGTATTCGGTTCAGTCGTTTCTAACCGCACAGTGCAGGGGTCCCCAGGACCACCCTCACTTGGGACACACACTGCTGGCTCAGGAGCCCCCAGGACCACCGTCAGGCCAGGAGTTCGCTAGAGGCACTCACAGGACCTGGAGTGGCCGGTGCACTCCCAGTTAAAGTTAATGACAGCAAAGGAGTATGGGTGAAGGACAGCCCGGGGAAGAGGCACACGGGGCAGGATCCAGGAGGCACTGGGCACAAGCTTCCAGTTGTCCTCTCGCGGTGGAACCGTGCAGACAGCGCAGGGCCTGTTAACTGCCAGCGGTGACGTGTGATGTGTGTGCAGAATTGTCATCCAGGGAAGCTTGATGGGCCTCGATGTCCAGAGTGTTTAATGGGCGTTGGCCACGCATATTCAGCTGACCGCCAGAGTCACTGGCCTCCAGAGGTCCACTGATGCCGGGTGGGCTCAGGGCCCGAAGGGATGTTGGCCTGTGGTTTTTCTAAATATCTATTTTATTTTTTTTTCAACGTTTATTTATTTTTGGGACAGAGAGAGACAGAGCATGAACGGGGGAGGGGCAGAGAGAGAGGGAGACACAGAATCGGAAACAGGCTCCAGGCTCTGAGCCATCAGCCCAGAGCCTGATGCGGGGCTCGAACCCACGGACCGCGAGATCGTGACCTGGCTGAAGTCGGACGCTGAACCGACTGCGCCACCCAGGCGCCCCTGGCCTGTGGTTTTTCTTTCCTTTTGAATCGTCGTCTGGCTTTGCTTGCTATCAGGGTAGAATTGGCCTCCGGATAAGCTGGGAAGTGTTTCCTCCTCTCCTGTTTTTTGGAAGACTTTGTGAAAAACTACTGTTGGTTCTTTGAGTATTTGGTCACGGTAGACCATCTACATCTGGGCTTTTCTTTGTTGGAAGTTTTAAAATTATTAGCCTCTGTACTTGTTACAGGTTTTATTGTCTTTCTTCTTGAGTCTGTTTCAGTTGCTTATGTCCTACTAGGAATCTGTTCATGTTGCTTGTTTTTCAGTTGGTTCACATAGAATGTTTCATAGTTTTAAAGCCTTAAAAATCTTATTTTCCCCTATAAGTCAGTAGTGATGTCCCCTCTTCAATTGCTTGTTTAGTGGTTTACACCTTTTCACTTGGTCTAGCTGATCTAGCTGAAGGTTTTTCAGTTTTGCTCATCTTTTCAGAGAACCAACTTTTGGTATTTTCCCTATTATTTTTCTATTCTCTATTTCATTTATTTCTGCTCTAATCTTCATTCTCTTCTTCTGCTTGCTTTAGGTTTACTTTGCTCTTCTTTTTTCCAAAATCTGAGGATGGAGGTTGAAGTTCTTGATTTGAGATCTTTCTTCTTTTTAGTATATGTGTTGACAGTTCTGAAGTTAATACTCGGACTCAGTAGATTTTCTTGAAGAAACAGACCTCCATTTGCCGTTTGCCCTTAGAACACTTTCCCTCTGGAAATTTAAATTACTGTTTTTTATAATTTCCTCCAATTATGGTGTTTGAAGAGAGAGTGTGGACCTCCTCATGCTGCCATTTTGAATGTGCTCCCGAGTCCTGGTCCTCTGTAGATACCTACTGGTCTGTGTCTGGAGTAACTGATGTGGTGTCTGAGATGAACATGTGGCAGGCGGGGAGGGTGGGCAGGACAGTCCGTCAGCTGACAGTTGTTGGGAAAGTGATGGTCTGTTGGGTTCATCGTGCCATTCTCTGTGCTTTTCTGTGTAGTCAAAGTTCAGGTTTTTAAACGGAGTCTTGAAAGGCACTTTTAAAAAGTCAGCCCATGAGGGGTCACACATGCGCATCCCCGCAGGAACCCTGCAGATGGGTCCCATTAGCCCTGAAGCGAACGGGGCTTCAGGATGGAGGGTTCTGTGAAACAGAGTCGTACGTGTCGCAGGGAGGCCAGCGGCCACTCACGTCCGCTAGGTAGCACCTTGGAAATGCACAGCTAGTGGTCCCAGGTTGGCTGATATTTCAGGAGAGGCTGGATGGTGGAATTTTGGTAGAAAACTAGTTTGTATCGAAGTCAGAATTACCCAGAAAGAAACACCCGTTGGATGGAACTCGCCTGTGAGCCCCCAGTTTTGCAGCCTGTTTATAGGCAGGTGATAATTGTGATTCAGTTACAAAGTAGCACAGACGTCCTCAAGTGTGAGTGTGTGAAAATAAAGTCACAGCTGCTGGAGGTGGGGAAGTGGATGTGGAGAGGGGTGCAGAGAAGGGGGAAGGTTAAGTGTCCTCGTTTAAAAAGCAGCAATCCAGGCGCCTGGGTGGCTCAGTCGGTTAAGCATCAGACTTCAGCTCAGGTCATGATCTAATGGTTCATGAGATTGAGTCCCGTGTCAGGCTCTGTGCTGGCAACATGAATCCTGCTTGGGATTCTCCCTCTCTGTCTGCCCCTTCTCGGCTCATGCTCACCCTCCGCCCCAAATGAACTTTTAAAATGGTAAATGGCAATCTAGGAGCTCATGCCTGGAGCTGTGGTGTGAGAAATGGGCCATTTGGGACCATAAGGTGGCCAGTGGACAAACTGGAGTGGCTCCGAACGACAGGGAAGAAGAGGAAGGCTGATGAAGGGTCACTTGTGTCATGGTACGAGTAGGGAATCAGTGTGGCATCTGAAGGTCACAGTGGTAGAGCCTTGGTATTTAAAACGGTCAGAAGTGGCTGCTTAGAGGAGCGGGCCTCCGGAGAATCTCTGTGGCTTTTTCCCATGAAGCCGTAGGTTCTGTGTACTGTGTATACACTGTATACTGAGAAATGGAAACATTTTGGGTTGATTCCTGGTCTGGCTCCTGCAGCCAACGTCGTAACTGTAACGTTTGCTGTGATCAGAAGGGAGACAAGGAGACATTCATTTGCTAGGGGTTTTTTAACTGTTGGTGAAAATTCTCAAACATGCGCAAAAATAGAGAGACACTGGAATAATGAATCCCCAGGCGCCCATCACACAGCTTAATTGAATGAATGGCATGCTAATCTCTCATCTGTTTCCTCTGTGTGTTTTTTGCTAGAGCATGTTAGAGCATGTCATTTCACTCATAAAGGCTTCAGTTGGCTCTAATAAAGGCGTCTGTTTTCACATAACCACCAGCACAGCTGACAGAATCAACGACACTTCCTTAGCGTCCCCGATAGGCACTCCGTGTCCACATCTCTCCAGTTGACCAAAAAAAAAGAAAAAAGGTGATATAATTACAAATTCAGGCAGGGCCACTGCGTTTGGTTATCAGAGACCTTTTTGGTGCCATTTTGTAATCTTTGGCTTGTTTTCTCTTCCCAGGCCATGAGTGCAGCCGTGTGCTTTATGATCGATGGTAGGTACCCACCTGTATCTGACTTGAGCCTGAGTAGATAAGCCTTTTCTCTTTACAATTTGCCGTGTCCTCTTCCTAAACAATAACCATGCCGTCACAGAGGCCCTTGTGAGCATGGCTCACCTCTGTGATGTCTGCCGTGGTGATGAGCTCTCATTCATATATTTAACATCCTAGCCTCCCTGCTTCCTAACAGCTGGCCCTGGGCACCTTTCTGTGCCTCCCTGCCTGTGAAATGTCACAAGAGGACCTTTTGCAAAGGGGGCTTTGGGGATTCAATGAGGTAATGTTGGTAAAGCACCAGACGGCACCTGGCCTGTGAGAGCCACGTCGTGTTTATTTGACCTTCTTAGGCCTACTTGGGGTAGGCCACCCATTTACAGCCAGCCCCACAGGGTGTGCTTAAATCAATACTCACAGTGAGACAAGTCTTTGACTCTTTCTCTCCTTAAATATAACTGATTTTGACTGTTCTTTTTCTCTTGTTTGGTGGGGGGGGGGGGGGAATCCAGTCATTTAATTGTTTGATTTTCCAGATCAGAAACGTATTCATTGGAATACTATAATTAAGACAGTTAGATGAATATTGACCTTTTCAACGCAAAGAATTATAACACTATTTTTTAAATTACTCGTTAGCCTCTGTACAGCCCACGTTGGATTTTTGCCGAAGACTGGACAGCATTGTTGGGCCCCAGCTCACAGTGCTGGCATCTGACATTTGTGAGCAGTTTAACATCAACAAAAGAATGTCTGGGTTTGTACTTTGCTTCGTGTTTACTTTCTAGCACTTAACTGGTTTGGGAAGAATAAGGGTAGTTTTTATATAAGAATATGGATGGTATTATCAATGGTGTTTTTTCTGAATCCAGAGAAAAAATGTGTGGTTCACTCCTGTCTGAAAATCTCCCTGGAGAACTGTTCCTGAGTTTTTCTCCTCCACGATGGGGGGTGGGGCGAGTCTTCTGTGGACACGTTCCCTCAACTCTCCCCTGACTGTGGCATAAACTACGGGGTTCGGTGTGTTGGCTGTGCCTGTGGGCTGGACCTCGTGAGGACCCCTCACATCCCCCTTGACCAGCCCAGTTGTGAAATTCACACTGGCAGTGGTAACCAGCAGGGTTCTGCCTCTTGGGGACAGAAGGCACTTTGCCTCTTGTGCAGAAATGTGTGGGGTGAAGGTAGGTGTGATGTGGGCCCTTAGGGCGCTGGGCCTGAGTCTCGTGCCTTGCAGGGCCCTCGCTCGAGTATCGGGAGACTCACATTAAACTCCCGTTGGTTCTGAGAACACTGGAGAGTCCTTGAACCTCCTCCTCCTCTCTTAGTGTAAGGTCAGATTGCTGGAAAGATGAAGTGAGCACAGGGGAAGTACTTTGAGAAATAAAAGCCCTCTTCATATGGGTGTCCGTATTTTGAGAAGTTACTAACATGTGAATTTACGTATAACCTGTGTTTACGGTGATCTCCTGCTGGGTGTGGTCTTACGTAAGCACCAGCCTGTGGAGAGGTCCCAGGCAGGGTGCAGGTGGAGGTGTGCGTGGGCTGCGTGTCTGTGTGTGGATTGTTCCCGGCCGCAGCTTACTGGGCGTGAGAAAAGATAAAGCCGAGAAGTGAGCGCACCTGCCCGCTCCATCTTTCAGTGCTGCTTCGTCGTCTAAGGTTGTCACCACGAAACTGCCAGATGGTCTTTTCTGAAGGAAGCAGGAGTCAGATGTGTTTGGTACCGTGCGAGGACGAACTGTTGAGTGGAGCGAGGCAAAGTGAAGCTCCCTGCTTCCCCAAGACCCGGGGACACTGCTGGGCACGTCTGCCTGTGCTTCCCACGTGCCGTATGTGCAGTAACTCGGTGACAGACGTGGGAGGTGGTCCTGCTGTCAGGCACCTTCTGTCCCACTGCCCTCAGGGTTGTACGGAAATCACACCCATTTTTCCCTTCTTTAACTTTGGTTTTGCTGGGTTTTATAATATACAATTGGAGATTTATATGTAGTTCATTTTATTAGTCATTTCCATTAGATTTCTATCTTGAGTGTCATATCTGAGGCTTTCCACCCCAGTACTGTAAAAACATGCCATTTGTGGGGGGCACCTGGGTGGCTCAGTTGGTTAAGAGTCCAACTTTTGATTTCGGCTCAAGTCATGATCTCATGGTTGATGAATTTGAGTCCCACGTGGGGGCTGTGTGCTGACAGTGTGGAGCCTGCTTGGGATTCATTCTCTCTCTCTCTCTCTCTCTCTCTCTGCCCTCTGTTGCTCTCTCTTAAAACATAAACTAAAAAACCCCAAAAAACTGCCACTTTTATCTCCAGAACTTTCATGGTTTTATCTTCTGTGTTTCGATCTTTAATTCACCTGGAATTTTTAAGGGCTAAAGGAAGGAAGATTTTTTTCCCCAAATTGATACAGTTTCAAGAAAGGACAGGGCCTTGGATATTATCTACTTATCTATTTTCATTAGAAACAGTTTTCTCTCTGATATTTTATTAGGAAAATTCCCAGATGTAGGAAGGTGGAAAAATGACTCCGTGAACACACAGCGCCCACGTAGATTCCACGGTTAACACTTTGCCGTGTATGGTTTGGCACAGCTCCGTCTGTCACGGAGGACGGTTTCTGACAGTTACCAGAACCACTGTGTAGCCTCAGCAGTCCCTGAAAGGTGGGGCGCCTGGAAGACTTGATGGTAAAGCATACAATTTAAGGGTGTGCCGAAGCACAGGGACTCAGAGGCGTATTGTTTTTGACTTCGAAAGTTGATTTTGGGGCACCTGGGTGGCTCAGTCGGCTAAGCGTCCGACTTCGGCTCAGGTTGTGATCTCTCGACTCCCGGGTTCCTAAATTTGAGCCCCGCATTGGGCTCTCTGCTGTCAGCGCAGAACCCGCTTCAGATCCTCTGTCTCCCTCTCTCTTCGCCTCCCCTGCTTGTGCTCTCCCTCTCTCTCTCTCAAAAATAAGCGTAAAAAAAAAAATTTTTTTTTTTAAGTTGACCTTAAGGATGCATCTGATATTTTATATGTAAGCTGCTCTCACTTGCCAAACCATAAGTATCAGCTGACTAGAGGGAAATGCTTTTGAGTACAAAAGGTACTGTGCTTTTCTCCTGGAAATCCTCCTGACCCAGATCAAACCGTTTTACATGCCAGTCCCAGGACCTGGGAGACACGTCCCAGAGAAATGGGAGGGAGGCCTGAGGGAGGCAAGAGACCCCCACGTCGGCCCCTCCAGACAGTTGCTGAGAGGTGGGGGGCTGCTGCGCTCGGCAGGACGGGTCAGCGCCAGGGCCTCTGTGCCCGCCTGTTGTCTCAGCCCCACCCCCACTGGACAGCACCCGTAGGGCCAGCTCAGGGTGTAATATTTAATGTCGAATCCCTACACATAAGCTACGGCTTTTAATGTTCCTTGTGAAATTGAGGTCACCCCTTTACAGAATGGCATGAAGTGGGTTTGTTTGGTCTTTGGTTTCTTATGTATGATGCCTCAACTTTTTTCTACTCAAGGACTTAGAGTTCAATTATTTTAAACCTTTTCTTTTTTTGAGAGTAATTTATGTCCTTATTTTTATTTTATTTATTTATTTATTTATTTATTTATTTATTTATTTATTAACATTTATTTATTATTGAGAGACAGAGACAGAGCGTGAGCAGGGGAGGGGCAGAGGGAGAGGGAGACGCAGAATCTGAAGCAGGCTCCAGGCTCTGAGCTGTCAGCACAGAGCCCGACGCGGGTCTCGAACTCACGGACTGTGAGATCATGACCTAAGCTGAAGTCGGACGCTCAACCGACTGAGCCACCCAGGCGCCCCGTGGCCGTATTTTTAAATTCAAAAGTGTAAATATTGTATCTTTTTAGACTTGTACATACACATACGTAAACAGTGGTATATATAGTGTTCTTCACTGATGGGTTTTTTAAAAATGTTTGTTTATTTATTTTGACAGAATCCCAAGCAGGCTCCATGCTGTCAGCACAGAGCCCAAAGGGGGGCTCGATCCCACAAACCACGAGATCATGACCTGAGCCAAAACCAAGAGTTGGACGCTCAACTGACTGAGCCACCCAGATGCCCCTTTACTGATGGGTTTTTAAAAATAGATCATGCTGTAGATCTGTAGCTTGTAAAAACGATGTGGCATGAACATCATTTTAAACCAACAAATACGGATCTGCCTATTCTGCTCCGTGGCTTCACGGTACTTACTTGGATAGTTTGTTTGTGTTCTGTCTGTGTAGTCGCTGTTCCAGTCGACGGGCAGTCTGCCTCTGGCTGTTAGCATTAACATGGTTCTGCATTAAACAGTCTGGTGCAGACATCTACCCATCCTCTTAGGACCTGTCCCTGGAGTGGAGGTCTGGGGCACAGGGAATGCATAGTGACAGTGTGAGTCCCCTCCCACAGGGGCTGCAGCCCTAGTTCTCTGTGTCATGTCTTGATGCCTGATAGGTGACGCCGAGGTTGGTGGTTCTGTCTCTTCCAGAAATTGCCAGTCTGGGTCCATTGGCTCTTCCCACTGAAGTGCTTCGTATCCTTCCTTCTACGTCAGTGCTCTTAACGTAATACCCTTCGGTCATATCATACGTGTTTTTCTAACTTTGGTTTTACTGTTTGTTATAATATGTTTGGGGTTTATACGTAGTCCTTTTTATTAGTCGTTCCCTCTAGGTTTCTGTTTTCACTGTCATGCTTGTGATTTTCCACCCCAGTAGCCTAAGAATGTGCCATTTTTATCTCAGGGGCTTTTATGGTTTTATCTTCTGTGTCTCCATCTAATTCACCTGGAATTTTTTTTAAAATATAGTTTATTATGAAATTGGCTAACATACAGCGTGTACAGTGTGCTCTTGGTTTTGGGAGTAGATTCCCGTGGTTCATCGCTTCCCATACAGCACCCAGTGCTCATCCCAGCAAGTGCCCTCGTCAGTGCCCATCACCCATTCCCCCCTCCCTGCTGTCTACCCTCAGTTTGTTTTCTGTATTTAAGAGTCTTTGATGGTTTGTCTTCTTCCCTCTCTGTTTATAACTATTTTTCCCCATTCCCATCCCCCATGGTCTTCTGTTAAGTTTCTCAGGATCCACGTGTGAGTGAAAACATACGGTATCTGTCTTTCTCTGATGGACTTAATTTCACTCAGCATAATACCTTCCAGTTCCATCCACGTTGCTACAAATGGCAGGATTTCATGCTTTCTCATTGCCAAGTAGTATTCCACTGTATATATAAACATGCACAATATATATAAACCACATCTTACTCATCTATTCATCAGTCAAGGGACATTTACATTTAGGCTCTTTCCATAATTTGGCTGTTGTTGAAAGTGCTGCTGTAAACATTGGGGGTACATGTGCCCCTGTGCATCAGCACTCCTGTGTCCCTTGGGTAAATTCCCAGTAGCGCTCTTGCTGGGTCATAGGGTAGATCTATTTTTATTTTTTTGAGGAACCTCCACACTATTCTCCAGAGTGGCTGCACCAGTTTGCATTCCCACCAGCAGTGCAAGAGGGTCCCCGTTTCTCCACATCCTCGCCAGCATCTATAGTCCCCTGATTTGTTCATTTTAGCCACTCTGACTGGCGTGAGGTGGTATCTCAGTGTGGTTTTGATTTGTATTTCCCTGATGAGGAGTGACGTTGAGCATCTTTTCATGTGCCTGTTGGCCATCCGGATGTCTTCTTTAGAGAAGTGTCTATTCATGTTTTCTGCCCATTTCTTCACTGGATTATTTGTTTTTCGGGTGTGGAGTTTGGTGGGCTCTTGATAGATTTTGGATACTAGCCCTTTGTTCCAAATGTCATTTGCAAATATTTTTTCCCGTTCCGTTAGTTGCCTTTTAGTTTTGTTGATTGTTCCCTTTGCATTGCAGAAGCTTTTTATCTTGATGAAGTCCCAGTAGTTCATTTTTGCTTTTAACCCCCTTGCCTTTGGAGACGTGTCAAGCAAAAAATTGCTGCGGCTGAGGTCAGAGAGGTTGTCGCCTGTTTTCTCCTCTAGGGTTTTGATGGTTTTCTGTCTCACATTTAGGTCTTTCATCCATTTCACCTGGAATTTTTAAGGACTAGAGGCAGCGCTCTAACTTAAGAAGTTTTCCCCCAAATTGAGACTTTGCTGAGTCTGAGATGTTCGTTTCTATTTTGCATATGTCTCTTCACTGGCTAGTTGTGATACTGAATTTGAAAAGGTGTGAGGAGGGCGAAGTACAGAGGTATTAGGAAAGGAGACCCTTGGGGCACCTAGATGGTGCAGTCAGGTAAGCTTCCAACTCTTGATCTCAGGGTCGTGATTTCAAGCCCCACGTTGGGCTCTGCACTGAGCGCAAAGCCTACTTTAAAAAGGCTGCCCTCATAGCTGTGGGCAATTTTTATAATCCTTTTCATCAGTCTTTTTGAATGAATTTTTGGGGGGAACTCAACCCAGTTGTTCCGGAGGTGAAGACGTTAGGCTTTCTACAAGAAGTGAGGAGTGCAACCGTGGACTGAGTGTTGGTAACGATGAGACCCAGGATGGGATGCCAGGCAGGAAGAAGGCGAGGGCAGTGGGTTGGCCTGGCGGGCGTGCAGAGGCGGTGCCGGGGGAGCGCGGGCAGGGAAGCCTTCCTTCCAGGGCGTGGTTCACGGGCATAGTCCAAGGGCTCAGCTGTGCCTCCCTTCCTAATCCCCCTGGACACGCAGAGGAGCAATAGCTGTAACATGTAACTCCCACATGAAGACCAGTTTTCCTTCTTACAATATCCATATCAGTCAATTCGGAATCTTCCCTTTTTGTTTGGTTTGTTAAGTGTGGAATGGCCATCCTCACTTAGAAACCGTGCGTCTGGCAAACCTTAGCCGCCTGGAACGAGGCCCAGAACAGGTCAAGCCACCAGATGGTCTCGGGGCCCCAGCCAGCTGTTGACGTCCCCAGGGAAACGCTACAAGTGGTCAAACACCTGCTGGACATCTGCTGACCTCCTCCCTTGGTTCAGAGCCTGCAGTGACCTTCCCTGGCACGCCTCTGAGGTTTGGCTAGGTGTTCACGTACCTGGTCCTTAAACGTCTCCTAAAACTGACGCCGTTTACTCATGGGAAACGTCCCTGTGACCCTGCCAATCACAGCTACTTGGGTTTTCTACCAGTAGTAGAAGAAAGGGGCAGAGGGCAGACAGAAAACAGAAAATCTTTTTTAAAAAAATTAGCGGACACTCAGCGTAGAATACAACCACTTAAGACAGGCCCCACCTTCCCGTGTTCTTTGAGGCTGTCATTACTGTGCTCCCGTCTTGTCAGCCTAACCTCCTAACAAACCGTCAGCAAGAATTCTGTAGTATTTCCCCGGGTTCAGTGTGTTTTACATTGATGTCATTAACCGTATGCAGCGTGTTCTTTTTTAAGGCGGCAAGAAATTTGTGTTTCTGTGTTTAGGGGGAAACATGCTTTGGGTGTTTAAGGGGCGTCCGTGGTAGCTCTTGGGAAAAGATACCAGGTGACCGTGGCTGCTCCTTCCAAACCAGCTCACCATTGGTCACATGGTGCTTTGGATGTAGCTAAGAAGCCTGTAGGGTGGACATTGTCCTGTTTTCACTGTGAGTGGGCCTCTCCTTCAGCGGTGCAAGTTAATAGTGAAAGGGCAAGTAGCAGTTTTTCTGTTTCTCTGTGTTCTCCTCGTGGAAGGCGGTGGAAAGAGGCCACATTGGCCCCTGTCTTAACCACTGAACATTTGCTAATGTAAATCTCCATGAGGGGTACCAAAGAAATAATTTAGATCTTCTAAGAAGGCATTTTACACATTCTGAATGAGGGTAAGAGGGAGGCCACAGAGAGGGTTTTGGGGTTAGAAGACCGGAACTGCAGGCCCGATCAGGGTTGGGTGGAAGTTTGTCTACTCAGACAACTGAATTCACAGCTCTGGCCAAGCGTCTTAAATGTTTCATCTTTCCAGTTTTTCTTGGGGTTATACTTGCTGTTCTTAGTTTTAGGGGCCTACTGAAAACATATTCTGGTTTTGTAAGAATTCTCTTTTCATTTTCCTGGAAACTAAGCCATCCACATTCTTTCTTTGCCTAGATGTAAAGTATTACAGTAGTAACCCACTTTTCCGGAGGTCGGATTTCCGGCACCCTCAGCCCACCAGAACATGGCTGCTAACCCTGAAGTAAGCAGAGAAGGCTTCTGAGCCCCCTCCAGTGGCAGGGCTGCTCAGGCTGTCCCCAGACCCCCGAGCGTCACTTAAGTAAGGGTGCAGTGAGAGGGAGGGCGGGAGGCCCCGGGAGCTGTGGCCTGGCCATCGGAGTGGTTCCCCGAGGGGTCCGGCCTCTGACCCGGGAGGCGGTGGAGTAGCATTGTCCAGCCATTCCAAATAATAAGATGTATTCCAATGAAAATTTTCATCACTGTTCAGCAGAAGCGCCTCAAACGCCTTAGAATGGTCTCCATTTAGGGTGATGAGAGCTTTGTGACTCAGACTAGCCAACTTCAGTTCTGTGGCAGATTAAACACAGGGGGCACGGCACGTTCATCCCCCAGGACGGAGATAAATGAGTTGTCACTCTCCTAAAACAGGTCAGCAAACAACTTCTGCACAGGGCCAAATAATACATATTTCAGATTCTTTCGGCTGTATATGTTGCAGAAAGTGGCCATAGACAATACCCGAACATACGGGGATGGCCACGTTGCAATAAAACTTGATTTAAAAAAAAAAAGGCCACATTTGGTCCCAGGGCCACTAATCTGTTTGCTCACCCCTCTGCTAGAAGACAGATGGCCTGTATTGAGTTTGCATTTATTTCCAAAAATTCAAAATGCAGCAAATAATCAAGTGATTGCCATTTCCAAAGCACTGTTATTGCAAAGTGGTTATAGTACTGGTTTTTCAAAAGCTAAGCTTCAGCTTTCTGGAAAATTCCATCCTATTGAATACCTCACGGATCTCAAATAAGTTACTAGGGAACAAAGAGCCTGTTACGTCTTCACCGAGATTCTTGATTTGAAGGCCCAGACGTCGAAAATATAAGGCCTTACGTAGCTACATGGATTTAAGGTTTTAACAATGTGGTTGTATCGTTTAGAGAATTATTCTTTGAGAACGTTACCATTTTGATGACATGTTTTCACAGGTCTGAGAAAGAGCCCCAGTTTAAGTTTATCTACTTCAACCATATGAATTTAGCAGAGAAAAGTACAATTCACATGAGGAAAACCCCTAGTGTGTCACTCACATCCGTGCATCCGGATTTGATGAAGATTCTGGGTGACATCAACAGTGACTTTACCAGGTAATTCAAACAACTTCTCGAATTCGGACTTCTCAGATTAGGTGTCCCCCTTTTTTTTTTTTTTAATTTTTTTTTTTTTTAACGTTTATTTATTTTTGAGACAGAGACAGAACATGAACGGGGGAGGGTCAGAGAGAGAGGGAGACACAGAATCTGAAGCAGGCTCCAGGCTCTGAGCTGTCAGCACAGAGCCCGGCGCGGAGCTCAAACTCACGGACCGTGAGATCATGACCTGAGCCTAAGTCAGACGCTTAACCGACTGAGCCACTCAGGTGCCCCGAGGTGTCCTCTTTCTAACGGGAGAAGAGGCGCTGAAGGAATCCTCATCAAAGCCGAGCGGCCCAGAGCCGCTGCAGAGGGCCCCACTTGCGAACAGAGTAGAGGAGGCCCCCGGGTCACTGGCCACTTGCACGGGACTCCCCAGACTTTTCAGATGGCTAGTTTCTGGTTTCTTTTGTTTTTCTTCAAAGGTTTTTGCTTTAGTTTTTTGTTTGAGAGAGAGAATCAGCCGAGAGCACAGAGCCTGATGCGGGGCTCGGTCTCACAAACCATACCGTGAGATCATGACCTGATCCAAAATCAAGAGTCGACGCTCCGTGAACTAAGCCACCCAGGCGCCCCTAGTTTCCGGTTTCTCGTGAGAGTGTGTGTCGCTCACGCTGCAGCTAAACAGCTAACACACTGTTGCCTGTTGGAACCCTTGTCTTGCAGAGTGGATGAAGACGAGGAGATCATCGTAAAAGCAATGAGCGACTACTGGGTGGTCGGGAAGAAGTCTGACCAGCGGGAGCTGTATGTTATCCTGAATCAAAAAAATGCAAACCTGATCGAAGTAAATGGTAAATAGAAGCTGGGCGTGGTGCAGAACTTCGCCGCTGTCTGTCCTTTCACTGTGGTCGGAAACCCGCTAGAGAGGAGACATGGCTGTTGATGTCAAAGGAAACCGTCCTTTGGTCCATCCTGTGTTCTCCAGAAGCACAGTTCCTTGAAAAAGTTCCTTGAAAAAGTTTTCACGTTTCCTGTGGAAAATGTCCCTGTGTTTCGGAAACTTGGCACCGGCCAAAGGAAATGATTTTCTGTAATGCTAAAAGAAAAAAAAAATCCTGTGGCTTCATACAGTGTGTATACAGATGTCCACTCTGATCCCCGGTGACGAAGACCCACCCCGTGGCAGGGCGGGCCGTTTCACTGGCAGCTTCCAGGCCCCCGTGCGCGCATTGTTCCAGCACCAGCCTTGGCTGATCCTCACAGCTCTTTGTGCTGGCGGAGGGGGGAGCGTGTCCCCTTCACGGCCTCCGCTCCCTTGCTGCACCGCATACGGCCTGGAGCAAGGAGTGGGACGTTTGGGAGAGCGCCGCACGGACAACAGTGAGGTTTGAGGTTTCATTCTCCGCACATGTCTGCTGGGACACGGTTCGTCTCTCCCATCGGTGCCTCTAGTGAGACTTGTGCACATTAGAAACCGCAGGAAACGCGGCCCCGGGTGCAGTGGGAATTGAGTGGCGTCACGATGGCACCGCCTCCGCGGAGCACTTGAACTATGGCCCGGGTGGCAGCTAGGGTTTCTGGGGCATGGCACCCAACATTTTAGACTTGGGCTGCAGCCCCCAGCCTGTGGGTGTCTCAGGCGCTTGCGGGGCTGGGCGTGCACTTCCCGGGCCTGGAGGAGTGGCCTGTGGCTGTGACACGGCACTGAGGTCCCAGGGACAGTAGGCTTTTTCTCCCCATTGTCTTGACTCATGAACGTTTCTTGCCCAGGCCTGAGACTGAAGGTCTGCAAATGCGGCCATTTGCTGGCAGCTGTATTCCAGAAGAGTTTAAGGGACCAGTCTGTGTCATAGAACCTTTCCAGTGAAAACCTCTGTTTCTCACTCCCTGTTTCTGTCTTTTGCAGAAGAGGTGAAGAAACTTTGTGCGACGCAGTTCAATAACATATTCTTCCTGGATTGACGGATAACGGCTCGCCGGGACATCTTTTAAAAAAACAACTCCGCAGGCATTCTGTTTACCACTGCAGGTTCTCGGTCATATTATTGACTGAATTAATGACAATAGTAAAGCAATACTTGCTTTGAAGAATCAAATTTCTACTCAGTCTGATGATCCCCTGGGGTTTTTAGATTTTACATATTTATGTGGAAATAATTAAAGGTAGTCGGCTACATCTCCCATCATTCCATTCTTTTGACATTATGTGAATATTTTACTGGGAAATAAGACTAATAAATTGTTAAGGTTTTTAAAATTCTGGTTTTGCTTGGAGTCTCGCGCCTGCTGTTTGTTTGTAGACCACTCCGCCCAGTGGGCGCTGGCTGTGGCTCATCCTTGGGGATTTTCTAGAGCTGCTAGAGCTCCCAGAATTCGCCCCTCTCCCCCCCCCACCCCCCGCACGGTCACTAGACCTGCAGGGGCGAACTCTGAGGCATTTGCCCAAAGTAATTGCTAGACTTTGGTTTTTCTCTTGAGTACTGATGTGATTTTTAGACCATGTATAATAGAACTTCACGAAAGTGCCCCAGCCATGGTCTAAACATAAAGCGTTCTGCATGTGTCCTGTAGAACCCTGAGGGGTCACAACTGCCTGTGTCTTCACAGCTGAGATGTAGTCTGGCTGGATTTAATTAAAAAAAAATTTTTTTTTAATGTTTATTTATCTTAGTGACAGAGCGCCAGCCGGGGAGGGGCAGAGAGGGAGGGAAGACACAGAATCCGAAGCAGGCTCCAGGCTCCAAGCTGTCAGCACAGAGCCCGACGCGGGGCTCGAACTCACAAACTGTGAGATCATGACTGAGCTGAAGTCGGAAGCTTAACCAACTGAGCCAGCCAGGCGCCCCCAGAGATCCTATTTCTTGCCCTGCACTATGCCAAGCTCTGAGCCAAGGGTTTTTTAATTAATTTTTAAAATACTCCAGGCTCTGAGCTGTCAGGCAGAGAGCCTGATGCAGGGCTTGAACTCATGAACTGTGAGATCATGACCTGAACCAAAGTCGGACGCTTAACTGACTAAACCACCAGACACCCCTGGATTTTACCTAAGTTAACCTACTGTTGGCCGTCTCGACATCCCAGTTTGGGCAGAAGCTAGCCAGGCGCGGTCTGGGCAAACTGGTACCACCCCAGCTCCAGGCAGGGCTCCTCACTGTCGGCCCTCAGGCAGCCCGCATGAGCCCGCTGTCAGGGCAGAGGGCGGATGACTTCTCGTCCAGCTGGAGTACTCTTGTCGCTCTCGTGTCTTACGTAATGTACGGTTTCGGTTATGAAATCACAAATCATTCTTAACCCATGAGCTGCTTGAGGTTGTGTTTTATTTGTTTCCAGCGACAGGCTTCCTGTGTTGAGTGTTCATTGCTGACTTAGTAATTGCAGCATAATTACATCATCATCTGGAAATACATCCTTCAAAGTTGTACTTTTGACCATAAAACATAGTCCGTGTTTATCCTCTGTTGCATTCTTGTGTGTTCAAACTTTTTAGTTTGCTTGCTAAAAATATCTATATCCCCCCTAAATAACTGTCTTTTTGATCTGTTTCTTCTCTGTAATCCTTTAGCTTTTGCAAGGCTAGTATGTAAGATGCTGAGGAATCATGCATCTTTTTGTTGTTGGTCCTTTTATCATTATTTCTAGTTTTATCCCTATTCAGATGTTTCCTTTAAATTCTGTTAATATTGCTCATGATTCCAGTCATTTTGATTAGATTTTCCTGGTCCATCTTTTTCCATCTCTATTTTTATCCTTTGTTATTTGTTCATTTTGAGAGAGAACAGGGGAGGGGCAGAGAGGGAGAGACAGAATCCCAAGCAGGCTCCGCACCATCAACATGGAGCCCGATGCACAGCTCGAACCCATGAACCGTGAGCCAAGATGGAGTTGGGATGCTTAACCAAGGACCCAGGTGCTCCAAGAGGGTTTTCTTATAAAGAATAACATTGAAATGAGTTTCTATTTTGGTTTTTTGTTTTTGTTTAAATGTTTATTTACAAGAGAGCATGAGCAGGGGAGGGGCAGAGAGAGACAGAATCCGAAGCAGGCCTGATGTGGGGCTTGAACTCATGAGCTGTGGGATCATGACCTGAGCCGAAGTCGAATGCTTAATCAACTGAGCCACCCAAGTGCCCCGAAATGAGTTTCTATTTTGAACCCAGCTAATGATATGGGGGCTTGGGGATTGGGAAGGGAACCTGCTCACACTGGGGAGGTATGTTAGCACTGTCCCACCATCTCTGGCGATTTCGGTTCCCAGCCTCTTTGTTGTTTTCCCATTTCCCCAGCTTCATGTTGAACGATTGTTTCCTTCCCTCTGCTAGTTTGGAAGCCGTAGAGTGTATTTTTATGCTTCAGGTGGTCACTCTTATATTTAACACAAATCATTAGTATAACAGTGTCTTAGACGTAAAGTTTCACTTAGTGCTGAGCACACCTGTTCGTCAGCTTTTCTGCCTTGGTGTTTCGTCCCTGCGGGTCTGCAGTGCTGGGGAAGGCACGGGGCCGGAGAAGAGGCCGCACGTGAGGACAGGTAGGACTTGCACGTGGGTCACTTACAGGGGCAAAGGGGGGGGTGGGGCCGGGCTAGGCAGGGGGCCTGAAGAAATGTTTAAATTTGTACACTACCACCTGTCTCCCGATAAGTTTTATCAGATTCTAAATTTCATCACCGATACTGTACTTGGATTAAAAAAAAATACATTGAACGCATGCTCATTTAATACCCATGTGTGTATTTTCATTCAGCTCTGTTTTCAGGCATGTCCGTGATTTAACTGTGTAAGAAACCTGAATTGCAGTGGGCCCAGGCAGTTATTTCAAAAACACTAAAACAAGGTACAACACGATTTTATTAGGAAACGTGTTACAGAGCTTTGGTTCTAAGCTTTTACATCTCGTTCTTGGGGTTCGTTTACAAACCCAGTAACTGTTACTTTCTCTTCTTCTTGCTTGTGATGGGCTTGCTGGATTGGGACACCACGGTGTCCTCTTTAGGGGGGCTCGATGTGAAACTGGAGGACGGGGCGTCAACCGGCTCCTTGATCACAGTGATGTCCACCTCAGAGTCTTGTTTTTTGGTCTCTTCCTCTCTCAAGCTATTCAGCCTAGGGCAAGAAGCAAACCCAGGAAGGTAGCCTTATTTTTTATTTTGCAATCTCAAAACCTGTTTTATGCTATATTTGGTGTAAAGTAGGCCACACCTAGATTTCAACAGTTTTTGCAAGCAAAACTGCAAACTCTCATCACTTTGCCTGAAATAGAAAGTGATGCCATACCCAGACAGTCCGGAATGACATTTTCACATAGCCGAACAGACTTCTGAACCCCTTTCCTCTGTAGCAACTTAGCCGCTAGTAAGTGGCCTTTAAAAATCTCGGGGTCTTTGCCCTGAAGTATAGTTTAATGCTTTCTTTAGCAACAGGCTCAAGGCATGCTTTGCAAAGAGCAGGCTTCAGCACCCTGGACAGACATGACTGTACGGTTCTCGACCTTGGTTCTAGAAAGGTAGCCAAACAACAGGTAGGGGTTGCTCACCATGTGCCAGGCACTGTTCTTGACACCTTACAGCATGGGCTCACTAAATCCTCACCACAGCCCTATGGGGGTTCGTGTCCACTTACAGATGGGGAAACTGAGGCATGGTGACGGGCCCTGCCCGGGGCCACCTACGTGTCAAGGGGTAGGGTTGGGATCTGAACCCGGCAGCCTAGCCCCGTGGGCCTCTGGGCTCCGTTGGAGCCTTGGGGCCCAGGCATCCTCACCCCCCAAGTGAGCCAATGGCCACAAGCAGGACCCTTCCCTGCCGTCCCATGTTCTCGGTGCCAGGGGAAGAGCTGCCTCCCTCAGGAAGCCACGCACGTGTAAAGACGGGAAGGGAAGGCAAGGCAAGGGAGGCTCCTGTAGGAGGGGGGCTGAAGGGCTCTGGTAGGTCACCTGGCTTCCAGCTCTTCGTTTTCCAGCCTCCGCCGATGGGCCGTGGCCGCGTCCTGTAGCCGGTCTTTGCTGACTTTCTCCTTGAGGGCTTCTACACGTTTGTGTGCTTGGAAAAGCATGTTCACAAAAAAGATATACATACTCGTGATCCAGACGGTGAGTTTTTCCTTTTGTTCGTCCTTAGATTTCTCTTTTCTCTCTGGAAGAAAGTTTAACTGAAATCAGCACGAAGGGCACTTGGGTGGCTCAGGCGGTTAAGCGGCCTACTCTTGGTTTGCGCTCAGGTTATGGTCTCACGGTTGTGGGATCGAGCTCCGAGTCAGGCTCTGCACTGAGTGGAGTCCGCTTGGGACTCTCTCTCTCCCTCTGCCCTTCCCCAACTCGTGCTCACTTTCTCAAAAAAACAAAAAAACAAAACCAAAAAAACTCAAAAAACAAAAATAGAAAAAAATCAGCACGAATACAATTCCAGGTCTTCCACTTCCTACAAGGGCTAAGTGTCCTCATGGCCCGGACGATGGGGTGATGCTGTGCTCCCCACAACCTTGAGAGGGAACCATAAAATTTTTACTGACAACCTGAAACAAGGCGGGGGGCGGTAGACCAGAGCTTTGATCGTCAACATTTTGAGTCTCCTGGTATTTTTCTGTAAATGGTGTATTTTGGTTTTCTAAAATTAAAACTATGGGAAAAAAATTTTTTTAATTAAAACTATGGAAAATTTGCATTTCCCATGTTTCACAGGGGAAAAAAAAAAACCCTCTGTTTTTGCATCCATTGTCTTTAAAGGCACTTTTCACTGAGAAAATAAAGGATTTTTAACTCCGAATTGAATAAGAACGTGGGTAAAATGACTGACTTCGTAGGAGTTGCTTCCCATCCAGTGGGGCCAACAGATGTCTACTTTGGAATGTGTTTCATAGTTGATTCTGGAAAGATCAGGCTTTGGGTAGTTTTACAATATCAGGAAACTCCGGGATCTCTCAAGACAGCAAGTATTTTTAGACTGTGTCTATAGCTTGGGTTTCTGTGCTGTGTGAGGGCGGGCAGGGGTGAGGCAGGTGGGGACAGGTATGACGGAAAGGTAGGGCCTGTCAGTAATTCACTCTCCCGTCCCAAGAGCCACGTGGAGGGCACAGAGTGGGACACTGACAGGAAGAGACTTTATACCACAGCCAGGTCTTACAAAGACCAAGGGAAGCCTTCATCTGCGCTTCCCCAGTGAGTTCCTAGGTTCTCGAACATCCGCGTAACCCATGGCGTGCCAAGGCATGGGGGAGTGCTGGGCGTGGAGGTAACTGATGAAGAGCGACTCACTGTGATTGTTGAGCCGGGTCCAGACTCTGGGCACCACGTCAAGGGGCTTGCACGGCCTCTGGCTTCAGCAGCAGAGCACGGACGAGACCAGACCAGTCAGAGTCAGGCTCGGCTCTGCCCCTTACTAGTTGTGCCCAAGCTCCCTCATCTGCAATAACGGAACCATGGGGTACCCTCCTCACAGACGCGTTGGGACAAGTAAGCGCTCAGTGATAGGCTGTGGCTTTTCCACAGGCAAATAATTATGGAATAAGAGGCCACACACTGGGAGAAAATACCTGCAAAACCTACCAGATGATCGCTTCTCGGCCTTTTGGCTAAGATCAAGTGCAAAACCTACCAGATGAAACAATGACTTGTATCCAGGTGACAAAAATAGCTCCTATCTTTGGCCTCAGTGGCACAATTCAGTGAAAAAATTTAAAGACACCACTAAGTGTTGGAGGGGACATAGAGAAAGGTCCTCCTAGATCACTGGTGGCATAGAGAACGGCACAGCCAATTTAGGAAAACAGCCTGGCTATTTATTTTAAATGTGTATTTATTTTAAGAGACAGCAAGCAGGGGAGGGATAGAGCGGGAGGGAGTCCCAAGCCGCCAGCACAGAGCCTGAGGCAGGGCTCTATCCCACAACAGTGACATTATGACCTGAGCAGAAATCAAGAGTTGGACGTGCAACCGACAGAGCCACCCAGGCGTCCCAATTTATTTTAAACGTTAAGTATATACTTAGCATATGACACAATTCCACTGCTAGCTAGCTATCCAAGAAAAGTGAAAATATGTCCTCCGAGCCTGTCCTTTTCACTCTTCACGTTAGCCCAACTGTCAACTGATGAACAGATAAAATGTGGTTTATTCAGACAATGAGACGCTACTCAGCTATACAAAGGAACAAAATAAACGTTACAACGTGAATGAATCCCAAAATAACTGTAAGTGAAAGAAGCCAGATGCTGCCGTTCATGTGGAACATCCAAGAACAAATGCGCGAAGAAAGCAAGGTCATTGGGGCCACCTCCCACACTCCACACACGCCACCACATGCCAGTAGTGACAGTGAGCTGGGGAGCACTCACAGAACGTGGGCCAGGGAAAGACCCCAAACCTGCTTGTTAGCACCGGCTTTGGAAAAGCAAAAGGGAGGCTGCCAGCACTCGGCCTGGTACATTGCAGGATCACGAGAACACAGGTGGCCTTATGAATTCTGCCACAAGAGCGACCAAGGAAGGTGGAGCAGGTGTGTCCTTAGGTGGTCTGACAAAGCCTCAACCCCTAGCAAGGCTGGTGGAAAATACTCTTAGTAGACACTAGGGGTGACTGATTCCTGAGATGCAAAGACAGAAACACAAGGCTTCAAGGAACACGAACTATCTAAGAAATGTGACACCATCACGGGATCACGGTCTTCCAGTAACCAGCCCCAGACTGACCTGAACGTTTACAATAGCCATTGGAAGGACACTCTGGGAGCTACAAGCTCACACGGAAAGACGGTGCAGTGAAATCAGGAAGACAGCATACAAACAAAAGCAGTTTATGAAAAGGGCATGGAAAATCACAACCAAACAAATCGTGGGGCTGCATGAAATGGAAGCACAGTAGAGCATCACCCACAGAGTGGATCACGCAGAAGAAAGAGCCTGTGGATTAAAAGGAACTTTTGAATTAGTAATGTCTAGGTTTCATCAACATGGCACCATTTAGGCTCTGGGAATTCAGAGATTATAACCAAGTCCCTGACCTTCCCGCTCCGCTGGGTTCATGCGCACCTCCCCCAACTCTTTCCCAAGGGATAAACAGGAATCTGTTACTTTCATTTTTTTTTACTAAATTTTCAGGTCTTGGGTTATACAGATTTTGTTAAGTGAATTGAAAGGGTTTTTTATGCTTTGGAGTTTTAAAAATAAGAATATAAGAATAATTCTTATATTGGTACTTTAATTTTTTGATCATAAAATTCAATTTAGGAGAGTAATTTTTGGACAGTTTTTTCCCCCATGATCATTCAGGTTTTCTGTATTATCCTGAGTCTATTTTTGTTATTAATAACCTAGAAAATAATTCAAAATTTTCAAATTTATTAAAAAAATTTTAGTATTTTTATTTATTTTTGAAGGAAAGAGACAGAGCATGAGTGGGGGAGGAGCAGAGAGAGGAGACACAGAATCCGAAACAGGCTCCAGGCTCTGAGCCATCAGCATGCAGCCCGATATGGGGCTCGAACCCAAGAAATTCGAGATGGTGACCTGAGCGGAAGTTGGACACTCAACCAGCTGAGCCACCCAGGCGCCCCCTGATGCTCTCCTGTATCTTACTGCTCCTCCCTTCTACCCTTTTGGGCTGAATGTTCAGGTTTTCTTAATAGTGAAAACATATTAATACTATACATTTTCTTGGGTTATAGTTTGACCATGTCTCTTAGGGAATGTTTACATTATTTCAATTTTCTAATTATTTTCAGAAATGTAATTTCATTTTTCTCTGAGAATTATTTTGAATAAGGGACCTCACATTTAGTTGGGCTTTTTGTTGTCATTGTGGTTTTGCTTCTTTTTCATGTTAGAGAAAAGAG